ACTTATACAAATCAATACACTGGAAAAAATGGCAACGACGATCTGCTTCCTTTTACTTCTGGATGCCTACATAACCATTAAAGCATGTCACAGTTCCATATTTCCATGTATCTCAGAAGTACAGGAGCGTTCATGTAGCAGTGCAAGGTTCTACTTCGAGCAGAGTATATAATGGCCCACCGCAATAATAGCTGTGAACACAAAAGCATAGGAGATGATATCATGACAGTCTACAGAAAATTAGTATCGTTATAACAGTACATGGTGGAATATAAGATACCACTATTTAAAGAAATATACGATCTTAAACAGTACGTACCCTAGACACCGTTCATCAAAGGCCATAATTAATCTTTCCACAACGGATCGTGGATATGGAGTAGCATATCAACAGTCGTTTTGCCTTTGCATATTCAGTTTCTTCTGAGCAGGGAAAAAGAGTTCAATCAAGATGTTCTGTAAAGCCGTATGCAAAGTACAGGGCCAATTCGCCTACCGCTGATCGATGACACCTGTGACAATCAATCCACTGGAGGAGGAGAAGGGAGATTGTTGTTGGATTGTTGAATCGAAGAGGGTTTTTTCGCTTGCATCAACAGCTCAATATCAAATAACGATGATTTGTCAGTGCCATTTTAACGCAGCTCTGTTAATTTCCATGTACAACGAGTTGATGACCAAGACATACATAGCTGCTGACTTCTTCAAGTTCTTCGCCATTCGCGTAGATAGATCGAATCCTCGTTAATACGTTTAATATGTGCAAGGAAAAGCACTTAGATTACAAACATGAAGGGAAGATCATCGACTGTTGCCTCTGTATTAATGCCGGAAAAAAATGTATTGATCAGACATTTGCGGTACTCGCAACTTTCTGCTTGGCAAACGGAAGAGGGACATTCAGTACAGGATCGAGACATCTACAGGCAGTTAGAAACTGTTCTTTCAACGACGTAGTTACAGACGTCCGCTACTCGACGCAGCGCATAAATGCATCGCCATAAGAGGGCAGTAAAGAGAGAAGCTGTGAACGATTCGAAACTGAATTTACACAGAATTTCCCGTGACGGATGACAGTGCAGAAAGGAAAACGGAAACTCATCGAATAAGCCTGCATTAATAATCGCCAAATAACCGGAAGTCCAGTAATTTTGTAACCAATACTTAAAAATCAATGCGGCAAAAAAATAACGACGTGTTTTTTAGACTGATATAGGACTAAGTACAAAATGCATGCAGCGCGTTCACAAAAAGAAGCTATGAAAAACTGCTTTAGCTACAGATTTTTAAATCAAATTTAAACGGTATAATCCCTTGTACGATTTTACGATTATTAAAACTGATACAAAATCTGTAACTGTTGGGACGTTGGTCTCCCCTATACTTTCACGATTAACAAAAATTTTTGGTGTCCTTCTTCACATATCTATTTCAACGCCAACAGCCAGAAGTGACTTATTTTAAAAGCAAAGTCTACAGCTACACGGCAAGCATTGCGTGCATAAAATTGGTTACTTAAGTACCTTGAGTAGCTCACAAAAGAGCGGTAAGACTTTCAATGAAGTTATACAAATCTGATCAATTAACTACCCTTTCGTTTCACGTGCACATTGTGCCATTTGTCATTTCTTTCACAAATGACCTTACTTTTTTGAAGTCATACATGCGAGATTCATGTATAACTGATACACTGGTAGCTGTGTTGTTGATTTTCATCGAAGGTACCAACAAAATCGAGAGTAACAAGTTTTACAAATAATGCGTTTCGCTTCCAATATGGCAACATCATCAGGGAACAACTGATCAAGTCAGTCGGCAACAACATACTCAGTTACTCAACTCTGGTGTAGATTAAGGTCAAACTCAGACCCAGACTTTGCACAACTTTGTTTCATGAAACATATTTTTACTTTGCACGGTGTTGCAAACCGTTTCAAAGTTGTAATAAAACGCATGGATATCTACGTGCCTTTCATGTAGTGTCATATCCGTCATAGAGTACAAATTGTACTGGTGCTTCGAATATACTATGTATACTACAGACGTATCTAGTAAGCCCGTAGCAGTAATATTAATCGCTTCTGTTATATATACTACTGCCATATACAGTTTGTTTATGCCTATTTATAATATAGACTACTATTGACCGCTAAGTATCACTGAATGAACCATGGTTTTGTCCACAAGGTGGTCGGCAGCACATAAGCTCGGTCATATTGGCGCAGTTGAGAGAATAGTTAATTAAGTTTACGCCTTCTTATGTCCATTAACAATTAATGTTTTTTGTCTGCTCTAAACAGCGGAAATGCTCTTTGATTATTCCTGTGAGTCCCACGTTGGTCCCATTATAAAGGTCTATATTTGACAATGGCCGATATTGGGTCCATTAATCGATTCTTTAAAGTTTTCGCTCGTCCTTCACAAGCAGGTTGGCGTCAGCGTCCCTCATCTCGATGACTGTCATCACGTTAAAATGTCTGCTTATCATTTAGTCACGCAGTCAAATTGCTTCGTTTTAGCAGTCGGGAGAAGTCACCTCTGCCCTTCAAACGTCTCAAATTGCCACAACAGTAAAAGAGAACAGAAAGGGAAATGCAATAAAATATAGGGCTTATATGCTTTCGAAATGAGATATATTAGTTTTTCATGTGTTCCAATATGTTTGTGCAGTTTTTTGCACCAATGCACTACAGATGCTAAAATATGCCGTGGATTGCTTAAATGGCCTAAAACGTTCTGAGTCAAACTCCAGATATTAAAGATTAGTTTTCAGGGGGCCAGAGGGCATACTTATCTTCACGAATTCCCTTGAGCAAGAAATTTACCGTATTCCTTCCAAGAAGGGTTGCTCAATCGGTAGTGCGTCGAACACGCAATCGAGAGGTCCGGATAAGTTCCGTTTGGGGTCATTCGTCTTTTTCCTTCCGAGGTTGATAAATGAGTACCATTCTTTGGGAAGGAAGTAGAATAATACACGAAATGCTTGCCACATAGCTGTAGACTCTATCTTAAAAAAGTAGGCATTCCTGTTTGATGGGACAGAAACGGAG